GTTTTTCCACAGTGGGAGTATCAACATCACAAGATTTTGAATCATTTTCAGCAGACTCAAAATTGATTTTATTCTGCTTACTCCCATCTTGCACTACTTCTTTATATGCACATGAAGTAGAAGCATTAGAATTGTTCACCTCATCACGAGCTTTTGAATCATTATCAATTGTACAAGAATTATTTGTGTTCTGCTAATGCCCATCATGCACTTTGACCTGCTCTGCACATGAGGTAGAAGCATTAGTATCCTTCAGCTCAATATTCTCAGTTGAACCAGATTGTTCAGTCTTAACTGAAGCTGGTATAAGAGGCTGGCCATATTAAGCAGGTATCTCTACCTCGTTGGTTTCAAGGGGCGGGGTATAGTTATCATTGAAGGGAGGTGGAACACTATGATACCCTAGACCCTTATTCTGATTATCTTTAAATCTTAATTGTTTTTCTATCATGGACATAACTACCTCACTTGACACGTCAAATTTCTTAAAGTTAAATTCAGCATCTTTATATTTAGCTTTTAATGCATCAAGTTCAGTAGTTGGACTGGCAATCTTCATTTGATCATAATCATAACGTTCACACTTTGTGCTATATTCTTCTTGAAGTTTTCTAAAGTCCTTGGTTTTGGCCTCTAATTGGTTTTTTTAATGGTTTTTGGCCCTTCCTGAGAGTGTATCCTTCATACCTAAGGTCCTCATTGTCTCTATGTAATATATCAGTTTGATCACAAATAATTTAATTGTATCACTAAGGGCTTGAGAACAGGAAGTTTCATTGACCTCTTTTGTGATTGATGAACTCATTATTCACAAAAAATAATTTACCAAAAATAGAACTGATTATGAAGTCAAGAAAAATCCCCTTTGACTTGAAACCTCGAAAGTCAAACTTAAAAGTCAAAATTGAAAGTCAAAGATGAAAGTCAAACTTGAAAGCTTGAAAGTTAAACGAGAAAGTCAAACTTGAAAGTCAAAGGTCAAAATTGAAGGTCAAAAGTTAAATTTAAAAATCAAAAGTCAACTTTGAAAGTCAAAGGTGAAAGGCAAAATTCTTTGTCCAAAAAGAATAACCTTGACCGAAAACAAAAGTTTCTAAACCGAAAACAAAAATTTCTAGACCAAAACCGAGAGTATTTGACCAAATACGTGACTTTTTGACCAAAAACAAAGCTTTATGACCGAAAACAAAATTATTGGATCGAAAATATGGCTTTTTGACCAAAAATAAGTCAAAATGTTGAAATTTCGAAATTGTGGCCGAGAATGCGAGGCTGGATTCTCGGACCGAGAAGAGAAGTCTAAAATCCGAACTGAAGAAGTAGAACCGAGAAGTTGAGGATCCGAACCAAGAACAGGAACCGAGAACGCGATGAAATCCGAGAACGATGCGAGATCTTCGGACCGGAAACGAGGACTTCGCACCGTGAACGAGGCCGAGGACTTCGCTGCTGACCGAGAATGTCCGAATCCGTCCGAAATCGCTGCTGAGCTCCGGAAATGCTGTTGGCCGCCTAGGGTTTGACCAGATGCGAGGGAATCTGCCTAGATTTCGCAAATTTTGACCTAAAATTCCCAAAACTTGCCAAAAACACGGGATTTTCAATATTTTAATGCCAAACTCGATCTAAACGCCTAAAATATGAAGAACAATGGCCAAAAATTCGTTAAAAATAAATTAAAAACACCAAGAATTTCCAAGAAAAACTCTTAAAAATATCTTGCAATGACTCGAATGCTACCGATCCAAGCTCTGATACCACTTGTAAGTCCCAAAATTGCTTTGATGTATCAATCAGATTCACTTGATGGTGCGGAATCCCAATCAAGTGAATGATGCAAGATATAAGATGAATAAGAACAAGATAATTAATCTTCAATGCACACTATTATCATTCAATAGTCGGGTACATAAGATGTTGATTACACACTGTTCTCTCTTGGTTCTCTCTAAACTCACGTCCTTGGCATATGGCAGCCCCTAGAACGTCCCTTACTCACTTCTAACTGATTTTCAAGCCTAAATAACACTATATATACCTAGGCCTAATAACCAAGCCCAAGCCCAAAACCTAAACAAAACAATATAAAGCCTAACCGAAATCACATGTGATTTCGGTCCAATTACAAGGAACTTAAGGGGATTTCGGTCCTAGACCGAGAACTCTAATAGACCTAGAACTCGATGCCAGGCGGGGCCCGATGCCGGGTGGGACCCGATGCCGGATATAGTCCGATGTCGGGCGGGGCCCGATGACAGGACGAGGCCCATTATATGTGATTAGGTGTATGGTATGCGGTATTTGGGAAACTCACTAAGCTTTGTGCTTACGGTTTTTTCAGTTTATGTTTCAGGTACTCCAGTTTTCAAATGAAAGAGCTCGGGACGATCGCAGCGCATACACCCATGTTTTTCCGCAACATATGATGTATGGGATTTGGCTCTGATAATTATGTTAATTTAAATGTTTTTCAATGTTTAAAACAAAGTTACAATAGTGTTTTAAATATAATAAAAATGAAATTTTTACCTTGGATTTTTGGACTGTTTCAAAAAAACAATCAAAAGTGATTGAATTTTTCTTGGTAAAAAATATCAACAATTTACAAATAAATAGTAATATAAGACAATGTTATAACTCCAAGTTCAAGATGATGACACGCAAAATGATGGTTAATCTCAATATGATTGATCATCTTATAAAAAAATTGAATTTTAAAGAGTTTGTATCTCATTTTTATTGTTACAATATAAAAAAGTAGGATGAGAAATATCAACTTCATATCCACAAGTAGCCACCAAACAATCACAAGTAGTCATGGCGGAACCAACATGTAATTAGTGGGTTCCATGAATCCCTCCTAAAATTGAAATCCAATATATATATATATATATATATATATATATATATATATATATATATGTGTGTGTGTGTGTGTGTGTTTTCATTTTTTTAATTAGATGATCATCTAGTCTTGAAACCTACTGGTCAAGATTTGAAACATTCAGAAATTTCCTTTTGCTCTTTCCTTTCTCCCTTTATCCTCATTCTCTCATTCTTTCTATGTTTAAAATAGATGTTTAAAAAAGCAAAAACACAGGTTTTTGCACAACCTCCATCGATGGAGTTAGAATAGGCCAGCGACATCGCCCGTGTTCACTTTTTAAGTAAAAATTGGACACCTGTTGAGTTCCATTTTGTCTCCGCCACTGCAAGTAGTTAATGACATTGCATGATACTTAACTTCTATGGATAGTGAACAACATATTGTTTCTCACTCTTCCATGAAATAAAAGAACCACCACGAGATATATTGAACATAACAGTGGACTTATGATTCATGATCCTGATCACAATCAACACTATTATAGGCATACTGTTCTAAAGAACTGGAATTACAATCGTCTAAAATTATGCATAAAATTATCATTTTGTAGGCATGCAAAACGTCTTGTGATTGACAACAAATTATATAGAAAATATCATTTTCAATTTATATAGAAAATATATTTTTTAAGGACATTTTTAATATAATTTCAAAGTATCTTGATTCAACTTTATGAGTTATGTTGTATGTCTTGTCGTGAGAAAGTCGTTTATTGTCCATAAAAATTTAGCTTTCATCGTGAAGAATATGCTTGTCATTGCGTCTTTAATACGTACACCTGAGTGCCACAAAAACTTTAAGCTCTTCCACTAACGGCCTAAGGAAAGCATTCATGTCCTTTCCATGTGATTTAGGTTCGGGAATCAATAAGGCCAACATGAATGATGACTCTTTCATACAAAACCATGGTGGCAGATTGTATGTGATGAGTACAACCGGCCACGTGCTATGTGGATTACACATGTTACCAAATCACGATAGCAAAAGGAGCGACAACAAACAAGAAATGGGAGAAGAGAATCCTACATCTGCGACACACATTAGCGGCGACAGGTATTAGCAACGACGCAAGGGCATTGGGGGCGACACTAGGTTTTAGTGGCAACCATCTGGAGGGAAGTTCTCCAGGGAAATTATTTTCGAGTATTAGCGGCGATAACATGTCGCCGCTACTGAGATCGCCGCTAATAGCATGTACAACATTCGTTTCCAGGCGTTGGTTTAGGGAGCAGATCGACAGATGGGGATTAAAGTTAGCTTTTTACGCGGATCGAGGTCCTTAACCTTTAGTGGCAACACCTTTAGCGGCGACATCGAACGCGAAAGTTAGATGTCGCCACTAAAGGTGGTTGTCGCCACTAAAGGTCATTATTCTTGTAGTGACATGAAAATAATAACGCTATACACAAGTCACATGATCGAAAAAGAGCTTGAAATTATTTTAGTGATCAAAGCCGACCTCAAAAACGTTATGTTAATTAGTTTTTTAATTGTTTGTTGTGTTTTTTTTACGTTTATAGGTTTTAAAATTTCTATTTATTTTTATTTTCTAAATTTTTTAGAAGTCGTATATAACTATTGAATCTTATAAAGTTTAATGTGTGGGTGTCCAACGGTATCAGGTTTTGATATCCTTCCTTAAGGTTGAAGGTTCAAGTCTCGTCTGAAACATAGGTGTATTTAGGAGTAGTTTAATAATATATTGTATTTGCCTTGGAAAAATAATAATAAAATAAAAAAATAATTAATAAATAAATAAATAAATAATGCTACTACGTAATTAATTATGCAAATCTGTGTACCCACTGCCAGGTACGAATATAATCATTTCCGTTTTCTTTGATTTGAGTTTTATTGATTCCGATTCTATTATCGACTATCTGACTTCGATTGACATTTGTATATTTTAGTTGTATGTGCCTTTAACAATTTCTCATCGTATCCTGTCGCTAGCCTTCACAAGTTACATTGACGAGTTTTTATCAAATCGATGAGATATGAGCGAACAAAGGTTTTCAACGAGGCTCGTTTTATGTTCGCCGTGTAATCTTGACCCCTATATTTTAAGAAGCAGACTGTTTATATAGAAACTAGAGTTTTAATCTTAACATTCCCTAGGTCATACATGATCAAGAACATAGAAGATGATATTTTTCCTCGATGATGAAACACCTTGAAAAGATCATTAGCTAGATAAGTAAAGTTATTAACTCAAACAAAACTGGGTGAAGCGTCATATAACTTACCCATTCTGTTTCCCCAGCTAAAGGGAGAATCTGTTTATTATAAATTAGTTAGATAATCAAGGGTTCCATGTGGGATCCCGTGGACTAAAGAAGCAGGCCTTCATGTTAGAGTTAAGCAACTTCAATGCAGCTTCAGACTTGATGCAGCGTGGAGTTTTGTACTGATTAATGGATGCACCCTGTTTGATAAACAGGTCCATCAAGGAGTCAAAAGTGCCAGGCTTCACAACACGAATCTCAAGTGGTCCAATACACTTATCATGAGTACGACATCGCCTATAAATATAATCAAGATCTTCTTCCATTGCAATACAACAATCTTCAAGCACCTTAGGGCCAAATGGAGACGTGACCTTATCTAGGACAGAGGGTGTGCAATGTTTAATCTCCCAGTATATGACGTAGTGTCCTGGCACTGATGATGTATCAGCATAGCTAGTGTATTCCACAAGTAGAGCATTGTAGGGTTCTAAAAGTCTTTTTGCTGCCATGATGCTCTTATGCAGATCTTCTTCATTAGTTTTGTCATTGTCAATGCTTAGAATGACATTCCTCCTGCAAATGAACCGAAATTGTGGGGTCCGGTTATGAAATCCAGTCACTTGAAGCACATCTCCAATACGATATCGGTTTAGTCCTGAGTGATCCACAAAACAACTATTTTCGTGAGTTGTATGAAAGGCCAAATTAATTACAAAAAAACCGTTATATTTTGGGGCAGTATTGTAGTGTAACCACTTATACTTTTTTTTTAAAGCAAACCATAAAAGTTTCGGACATTTTTGCGGTTTAACCATTTTGACCTGTTATAAAATGGTTAATTTGGAAAATCAATGGTTAACAACTTACCCGTGAAACCTTTGTTACATAACATGTCAAATTAGTTAATTAAAAAAAAAAAGTAGTAGTGATTATAAACCGTGAAACTGCCTAAAACATAATGGTTTTTCTTTAATTTGGCCTTGTATTCAATACATAAGTTCAAGAAGTTAATTAAATCATGGGAAACATACCAGAAAATGTTGTGACCACCAACTCATAATAGCAACCAACTTTAACATCCACCAATTTGACAAGCGTATCCGTGGAGATCTCTTCGTCATCATTTCCATATGTCTCATTTTCACCCAAGGGAATGAATTCATAGTAACCCATGTTAGGTAAGAGGGTAAAAGCGACATCTTCAGGATCACACAAAGGTTTTAAGTTTACCCCAAAATAACACTCCGATGAAGCATACATTGTACACACCAATGGTAACTTCCCTCTACTGTAGTACTCAAGAGCCGGTATATACTGGGACATTGACCCTGTAACCACTGCCTCAATATACTTAGCCTTAGGCCATAAGTCGCACACTATTCCTTTCCATGATCGACGGCTACAAATGTTTTCAATCTCATCTGCTAAACTCGGGTCTGCTAACTTGAGCATTGCTGACATGGCTGAGCGGCAACCAGAATCGGTGATCATAGGGTTGAGTTGACTGGTACGGATATCGGTGCACAGACTGAGCCAATTGCGTTCAAGGAAGGAGATTGCACGCAGTAAAGCCGATGCAAATACGGCTCCAAGCCGCATGACTTGCTGGCGGTGGATGAGCCCAGCTAAAAGCTGGCAGTACATGCTTTGGTTGCTGTCATCGCATAAAATGGCTTCGTCTGGGCTTGTTTGATCGTTGTAAAGGTCACGCGTACGAGTCTTGAAGTGTTTGCTTTTGTAATAACTTGTGAGAACTGTTCGAGCGGGTAAACCACATGGAGTTGACATCTCCGACTTAACAAAATATAGAAACATGGCCTTACCTTCATCAAGGCCTGTCACATATCTGTCATCATGATATTATATTAAGCTTGGGAATGTCATCGTTTATGCAATCAAATACCTAAATAGTAAATACCATAACCAGATGGGGTAAGGTAGAGATCAGATGTAGACAGTCTTACCTCCACCTGAGTGTAGAGAAATAATATTGGAACATAAAAGAAAGTTAGTTAATTAAAATAGAATCTTAACTGGTTCATTATTGGCATGATAAGGTTATAGACAAAAGTTCGACGGTCAAGATCTTCTGCGATCGATGGCATTAGCTTAGGCTCACCACCAGATGTTCCCGAGCTGCAAGTACAAAGAAAAGTTAGAAGTCCGCTAACTAGGGAAGGGAGGGGGTAGGGGGGGGGGGGGGGGGGGGGGGGTGAGAATAGACCTGCATAGCATCTCCGTTATGGGGTGACCAGAGATCAGAGAAGAGTCTTCACCATTAGCTATCCTTTGAATATAAGGATAGATGTCTTTGTATGTGATGACTGGAACCTTCTGCCTGAATACCGATACATCATTCATTGAGAATCCTTTCATATGCTTTTGAAGGTATTCGGTCTTATTGTTCCTTGTTAAGATTGCTTTCAGCAACTCGTATTGAACTTTATCGGCTTCTGATGTCAGCTTCTGAAGCTCCTTTAGAGCCTCCTCTCCTTTGTATTCCAGTTTCTTCCCGTCCATAGTACACACAACAGTTAAAAATAAGAAAATATAATGAGGATTAGTTAATAGGTAGGTAACAGGATAAGCTTGGAAGTACGTAGCTAGTTCTTCGATATATAGTCTTAACAGCCCAGTTGGTCTATATATAGTTGTTTGGGTAGTTAATGTTTCAATTCCTGATGATAAGTACGTACAACAAACTCGATACATAAGTAGGCTCTAATATGTTTGCACTTAAGATTCTCTTCTAATTATATGTAGGCAATTTTTCTTATATATATATAATATGAAATCTCAGTCTTACAAATTTTTTATATGTACGCATAATTATTTTTTTATATTTGCACATATATATATATATATATATATATATATATATATATATATATATATATATATATATATATATATATATATATATATATATGTGCAAATATAAAAAAATAATTATGCGTACATATAAAAAATTTGTAAGACTGAGATTTCATATTTGATATTTTCAACACTGCTAGTGCGAGTGGTAAAGTAGTTTCACAAGAGAAAGAGATCACCAAGTATCTGTTTTCTCGATTGTGTTCGCTTGAAAGATGTCCATAACATCGATGATATTTTCTATTAGTGTTAATTGTCACTGTCGGCAAGTGGATAAGGACAAATGGTGTAAATATCATGCAGGCATGTATATTTGCATGCTTACGTATGCATTTATGTGCATATATTCCGCTATCTAAAAAATCTTTTCTAAATAAACTCATGAAGAAAAACATCAAAGACTATATTAAGATGATATTTTTGAGTAAATTTTAGACATATATGTTTATTATCCAACTAGACACGGCTAAAATATATAAAAATTATATAATAAAAAAATATTATATATAATTATAAATATGAAAATAATTTCCTTATTCTAATAAAAGAATAGTTTATTCTACTTTTGTCATATGTCATCTTATTAGGGCATCCACATTACATTAATTTTTTTTGAGTTTAATGGATTGATATGTCATCATTTTACTTTTTATACAACTCTATATTAATTTTCCTACAAATATTGAACTCTATAAAGTTCAATGAAATATATTTTTAGTAGTTAAAAGGATTTCTTTTGTCATTGAAGAGTTTAATGACTATTGGACTTCATATTCATTGAATGCCAACATTACATCCAACAGTGGTAGAGTTTAATCCAATGAATGTCATGTCATCTCATTCAACTCTACAATTGAACTATGCATTGTGAATGCTCTTAGGCCTTCTAATTGATGATATGTCACTTGTCAACCTATTGATTCTCCATTTCAAATTTCAAATTTCTTAATTACTCTAATTACATTAAATTAATAACATTAAAATTAAAATTAAAACTAATTAAATACAGATTATAAGGTCACGTATTTATTTAAATCAACGATTATAATTTTATGTAACTAAAAAATATCTCTTAATTAATGTAACGTCCGTAGATTCGGGCTAGTCAATTTAGAGACAATTAACGTCAAAGATGACTTTTGGATAAAAGATTATTTAGAAGGAATAATCTTAACTGAGTTATAGTATATGTCACAAGGGTTCCGTGCATATAAAGAACGTTGAAATCCGAGTTATCACGAAGAACTTATGACATGTCGAAGTTTTACGGCAAAACCGGCACGACACCGGGAATCGTAAAAAGTGAGTTTGCGATAAAATACTTTTTAGCCTTAGCGATCTAAACGAAATTCGTAGTATACATAAAACTACGAGCGTGCATAAAAATAACGCCCAAATCTGAATTCATGTGAGGAAATTATGATTTTTGTAAGATTTAGCATAGTAGTGCGCAGCCCAGAATTCGAATTTTAGATCGATCGATTTTTAGCCGACACAATCTAAACGAGAATCGAAGATCTCATTAATAGGAGCTCAACGATAAAAAGACAGACGAAAACGGACGTTGGGCGACAAACTTATGAATTTTTAACGGACTTACCTATCTAGGTCTGTTAAAATATAACTTTAAAAATAAAGTCAAAATTAGCCGACGGAGTCTAAACAAAAGTTGTAGAGTACGTCTCCACTTACGCGTGGATATAAATAATGTCAAAAACAGAGCCCGTATACGAAAGTTACGGAATTTAGAAGTCGGAAGTGGCTGATGCGAGAGTACACGTGTACGCCCCGCACAGAGAAGCCCTACGCCCCGCGTTCTCGCATACTTGGCCCAGAAGCACTCCATGTCGCCCCATTCGAAGCTTGACACCTTTCCCCCTCGTACTCCCATTATCCCTCCGAGGAACGCCCTGCGTACAGAGGACTAGGCCCCCTATAAAAGGGATGCGAGGGCTGCCACTTTTCTTCACACCATAACCCTTCTCTCTCTCTAACTTCTCTCTAAACCTCCCCAACCTCTAGTACTTCCCAAGTGCTAAGAGGTGAGCCCCGGAGCGCCAGAAGGCTCCGAGAAGAAGAGCTTTTTGGTTCGGAAGTTCTTCCCCCGCAGAGCCCAGTTCCTAACCAAACCTCCCGGTAAGTGAGTTATGCTTACCCTACTTTAAGTATAGCTTATGTTTAAGTTTATTATCATTATTATGAACTTATAAACAATAAATATATTATAAAATATAATATACAAAGTGTTATTATAATATCTTTTAACTACTCACGGTACAGGGAATCTGGTTTGAAGGGCCACATAGGGTTGTTGGATTTCAGAAGTGCTATAATGCCAAAATGGTCCTGCCCTTCGGCGTTTCATGTCTGGCCCCTGTCTGTACATAGTGGTTGAAAAGTATTGTTTAACACTTATAAAACAAAATCGCTCGTAATTAGTCGCAATAAATATTAGACTAAAATCTAGTGGTAATAATACTAGGTTTCGTCGAAGGAAATAAATTATTAGAAGCGAAGCACTGCTCGAGTTGGGAATCATCACTTTAACAAGTGAGTGGATTGTTACTTTCATCTTACACATAGATATGAAGTATTTAATATAAATTACGTGTTATGTGTGCATATTATCTGTGTTCTTGATATCTATGCTGGATGAACCGAATATACATATTTTATTTGATGTGAATTATATATGTATTTTATACCTATAAATATATTGGGTAAAGATGGGTAGATGAATAATGAGGGATGAAAGATGATATAGATGAACATTGGCAGATGCGCCACAATGTAGATGTTTTTGAACTACGATGTACTCTAAACATCCTAGCAGTTGCGCCTAATGGATAATATCGGCAGCTACGCTTAATAGAGAACATCATAATTCTGGCAGCTGCGCCTAAATGATAATATTGGCAGTTATGCCTAATAGATAACATTAGCAGCTGTGTTATTGGTAGCGATAGACTTCGTGCCTATTCCTTAGGATAAGCCTTAGGAATGAATAAATGAAGAATAAATTATTCTTAAGGTAGATCCTTAAGAATAAAGAAGATAATGAGGATGGATAATTTGGTTAATTGTTTGAGGATGAAAATAATAACTTTATTATTGTGGGTTGAAAACCTTATGTACTCACCAGGTTTCCCAACATGACCCACTCAGTTTATTTGTATCAGAGGTGTCGATACGAAACTACATTACACTGAGAGATTAAAGGAGATGTAAATCACTAGTGTAAATGAATGTAACATTTGTTTATGTTTATGTTTCTGTATTGATAATGACATCCCAAAGGTTTAATATAAACAAATTACATTTCTTCGAAAATGTTTTGATAATATATTTATCATGTTTTCTAGGAACAAATTCCGCAATATTATTCTTTAAAATAAGCATAAATAAAATTTTTAAAATGACCGTGAATTTGGGGATGTCACAATTAACAATTTATCTAAAATAATTGATTAATAATTTTGAATTTTAATATGAACGTTTAATTAATTTTGTAACCGTGGTTCACGGGTTATAAACTAGTTATTTATATAATATTATGTGTATGTTGTTTACGTTATGATGATTATGAATATAATATGTTTGTTTAATTGATTGCAAATAATAATATATTATGTTGTGGAATGTAATAATTTTTTTATAGGCTTTAATTAACAACAATAATAATATATATTATTACCATGTAAACTTTATTGAAAAAAAAGAAAGAAATAAGGTAATGTATAGTTATATTTAATCAAACAATATGGATTGTGGGCAAATGGGTGCGGCTATTTCTTTTTGTAAGATTTAAATTTTGAAATGAAATTATAGTAATATTTTTTTAGTTTTGTTGAATTAATATAGAATTTGAAAATGGTTAAGTTCAAGTATATTTCTCTGTAAGGATTTGTTTTAATGTTTTCCTTATTTTTACTCATTTTTTGTTTGATTATGTAAAAGGTAAAAACGAAGAATAAGGTTAACATTTATATTTATTTATATCAACTGAATAAAAAAATATTAGGATATGATTTTTTGTTTTCAAATTTTAAATTAAAATTGATTTGTTAAAAAAAAAAAAAAAAAAAAATTGGTAGGTAATTTAAAAAATATGCCACGTGTCAAAAAAAACATATTAAAAAAGAAACATATGTCTTAGGATTTATTTATTAAGATAGGTACATGTAGACATATAATCTAAGACTAACAATAAGATAATAAATTTTACTTGGAAATAATTAATAATCTCCAAGCGACAATAAAGGAACCTTGCTATTCTGATTGGTATCAATTGGTGATGCAAGATATAGTGCGTCCTCCACGCGAATGTCACAAAAGTGAAGGAAAAAAAAAAGATTCTAAGCGAAACAGAACAAAAAATCCGAATTGGTTAACAAGAAATTGAAGTCCCTTTTCGTCAAAAAGAAGAAAGATGTGGTGGGGTTAAATATAAAGAAATTATGCACTTCTCTTCTCTTTCTTACTGATGTGAAAATCGATGCTCTACCTCATCCATCCAACATGAAGAAAAAAAGGCTTTGGGTCGCAATCAAGATCTTTGGTGAGGCTGGTGCTCGCCGCATATGACTTCATTTTTTCTTTTTCATTGTATGCTTTTTCCCCACTTATGAAAAGGAGCCAACATGATGACACTCTCTCTCACATAGTGCCATTTTATCCAAGACAACAAGTATTGTAAGTGCAACATATGACCAGGACTTCCGTATGTGTAGTACA